CATGGTGGTATAGGGTATTCTGTTGCGGAGTGGAGAACTCTTCTTGTGAAATACTTCTAGACTCGCTCAATTGTATTAATGTCTGATATACAGTGTGGATTCCAGACAGATGAGCGGGTATTCGAGTATTGGTCTAGCAAAGGTTTTGTATGTCCTAGTTAGAAGTTTTATATTACCGAAGGAGAAGCTTCTTAAGATTACAGGTGAAACTGGAAAAATTAGAATATTGTGCAAAAGTTCATTTATATCAGTAATGCAACTTAAAAGGTGAAACTAATCTTCATGAGCTGTAAGCCATAATCACCTCAATTATGACAAATCATGGCTTGAACTATCCTGCTTTGCATGTAATGAGTCTATCTCGTATATTAGTTTCACCTTTTAAGTTGCGTTACTGAAATAAATGAACTTTTTGCACAATATTCTAATTTTTCGAGTTTCACCCGTAGATTTACAACTCTTAATATGCCTTTTTGGCAAGCGCATATTTTTAACATAGAAGGGTGTGGTTAGCCCATACCTGTCTGCGAAAAATAGAAATTTAGCAGGAAAAGGGCTGTGAAAAATAGGAATGTTATGTTTTTGCAAGAAGGGAAGGCACTGCTTTTCTTATCCTAAATCTAAGAGCAGCACCAGCACAGGCTAGGACGGTTAATTTGAACGCAGGATTTCTGTTGTCAAACGTTTATTAAGCGAGTTCACACCATGTTTTACAACTTTTCTTGCCATAGTTGTTAAGCAAAGCACAGGAGTTGTTAGTCAAACTGTTGCTGAGTAATTTAAAATGAATGAGTTTGGAAGGGGCCTTGGAGGTCTTCTAGCCCAGCCCCCTACTCAAGCAGGAGACCCTATCCCATTTCAGACCAATGGCTGTCCAATTTCTTCTTCAAAACCTCCAGGGATGGAGCCCACACAACTTCTGGTGGCAAGCTGCTCCACTGGTTAATTGTCCTCACTGTTAAGAAATTCCTCCTTAATTCCAGGTTGCTTCTCTCCTTGATGAGTTTCCATCCCTTGTTTCTTGTCCTGCCTTCAGGTGCTTTGGAAAATAGGTTGACCCCACCCCCCCCTATTTTCCTAAATAGCCAGTTCTGCTTGCATTCACACAAATTCTGGATTACTGCTTCGTGTACCCCGCAATTCTTCTTTTCTCTAGACCAGTGGTTCCCAAACTTTTTCAGTCCACCGCCCTCCCCACCTTGGTGCTACAAACTCATCCTCACTGCCCCACCACCCAGGGGTGGGATTCAAATTTCTGTGGGCGTGGCCTAATTTGAAGGTGTGGCTTGCTGGTCACGTGACTGGCTGGGGTTGGCTTTGTGGTCACATGACTGGGTAGGTGTGGTTTGGTGGGCATGTGGCGGGGTGGGCGTGGCTTTGTGGTCACATGACTGGGTAGGTGTGGTTTGGTGGGCATGTGACGGGATGGGCTCTCTCTCTCAACGGGTGTCAACGGGCGGCTGCATGCGGAGAACCGTGAGCTGAACGACCTCTGCTACTTCCTGGACGAGGACCGGCTGAAAGCCAAGAGCCTGGCCTACTACTGGCAGCTCTTTGGGCATCGCGCGGCTTGGAAGGGCTGCTCACTCCATTGAACCCCTTGCACCACTCTGGTTTAACAGTCAATGGACTCCATTGACTGAAAGAGGGAGAGAGGGAGAGAAAACTGGTAGAATCCCACCCCTGAATTGTGTCCTGCACCCACCTCCAGCGCCCCCGTCACCTCTTAGCACTCCCCTAAGGCATCCCACCAGCCCCCAGGGGGCGGTACAGCCCACTTTGGGAACCACTGGTCTAAGGGCTATTGCTATTTTTTTCTCTCTCTCTTTTCCTGCTCTTCTTTTTTCCTTCCTTTTCTTATTCCTTTCTCATTCTTCCTGGTGGCCAGTGCCTAGAATGCAGTATTGCAGGCTAACTCACTGCCCACAACCTGGAGTTCAATCCTCACCAGGCTCCAGGTTGAGTCCTTCCTTCCAAGGTGGGTAAAATGAGGACCCAGATTGTTGGGGGGAAATAATGCTGACTTTGTAAACCACTTAGAGAGGGCTATAAAAGCACTGTGAAGCAGTATATAAGTTACTGCGAAGGAAGGAAGGAAAGGCAGAGGTGGGAAGGAGGAAGGAAGGAGGCAGAAGGGCGGAAGAAGAGTGGGAAGGAAGGAAAAGACAGTAAGATGAAGCCATCTTGGTGCAGTGATCAGAGTGTAGTATTGCAGGCTGCCCACAGCCAGCAGTTCGAATCTCATCAGGTTCAAGGTGGACTCAGCCTTTCATCCTTCCGAGATCGGTCAAATGAGGACCCAGATTGTTGAGGTTAATATGCTGACTCTGTAAACTGCTGAAAGAGGGCCGTAAAACACTGTGAAGCGGTATATAAGGGCTAATGCTATTATTCCTCCTCTCCGTGCTTTGCAAAGCTCTGCATTGGGGTATCTCGGTTGTCCGGATTCCGGCAGCTACCCGAAATAATGAGTCTTGAGCCAGACTTCCAAAACTTGAAAAGGACTTTTTGTGAGTTAACATGTCCGGCACTGCCTGGGTGTAGACAACTCTGAGATCCATCATTCATTGTCAACCTTGACCCTGGTTTTCCCCCCTCCCACCCGCTAGGTGTATCATAATTCATATTCTCCAGTGAGACACCTCCATAGCCCAGAATCATCAATCATGTTCTCCAGTTAGATCATTGCGCGGAAGAAACTTCAGTCAACTAGTTACTATCTTTGAAAACATTCATGAAATGCAGTTTCGGTTTGCAAGTTGCTGCTGTCGTGCCCCTTAGAATCTGACTCCTGTTAGAATCTGACTCCCAGGGAGAGGACAGCCGATAGGGAGTGGGTGTATGGCTCCGGAGGTTGTGGAGGAAACTGCGGAAGGGCACAGGCCGGATGGGCATTCAGAGGAAGACCCAGGCCCATCCCCTCTTCATCCTAGGGCACGCAGGGAGGAGCAGATAAGGGAGAAACATGAATGGCATGGTCTACAGGGGAGGAAAGGGCCTTGATCCCCTTCATGGGCTGCAGCTATGAGGACAGTTTAAAAGGACAAACTGCACATGTTCTGGCATCCTTCCCAGTGTGTGTATTTCACTATCTGTGGATATTGAGTTTCAACGGAAGTTCTTCCTTTTTGCAACTGTTTATGGGGGAGTTTTTTCTCCAATGATAATTGGACCTTTAAAGCCAAGTTGAAGGAATTAAAGGGACTTCACCTGTTTCTGTGACCTTGTTGCTTTTGTATCCCACCCTGGGTCATCACAGCCGCACTGCTCTTTCAAACCCCTTCCCCCCCACCTCCCTTTCTGTTGGCAACTCTAAAAAGATATAGAAATATTTTATGAATTGACACCATCGGCTTCGAGGAAATCCCCAAGTCTTAACTTCGCCTGGAGCCAAAGAAGAGACCTTGAGAAACAATTATTAATCAAGTCTTTGTCTATAAATTCATATGTAACCTTTATTACATATATATAAAATGGGGTTTTTGTAAATTTTTTAAAAAAGGAAACAGTTGTGTGTCTGTGTGTGTGTGTGTCTGTGTATGTGATGGAAGAAAAGTGGGCTTCATTTCTTGTCCATCAAGACCTCCTCGATTGGGGTGCAGCCAGAGAAGAAACGGCTGGTGGTCAGAATTCGCTTCTGACGTTTTTTTGTGGGCTTCATGGCTTTCCCTGAGGGTCCCGGGGGTGACAATGAAGCCAGGATGCTGCCCTGGGTTTCCAGCTCCATCGGTTCTTCCAAGACCTGGTGTGAGGGAGACAGAGAAGAGGACTTGAAAGTTTCGTTCAATGACCGCCCAATTCACTGCAGCAACTTGCTTTACGGCCGTAAAATAAAATCCAATGTGACCTGCTCGACAACCGTCTGGCTCAGCAGCTCAAATTCTGGATCTCACAACTGGTCGCAAATCGAGGACCGCCTGCAGAGCTTATGAGCATCAGGGCATCCTTTTTGCTCGCACAATGGTTACGTTCATCCCTCTCTTCCTACAGGGAGTCCTTGACTTAACGACAATGGAGGCCAACATTTCCATCGCTAAGCGAGACATTTAAGTAAAGGTTGTCCCTTTTATAACCTTCCTTGCCACAGTTGTTGAGTGAATCGCGGCAGCGGTTAAATGAGTCACTCAGTCGTTAAGCGAATTGGGCTTCACCCCTTGACTTTGCTTGTGAAGTAGGTCGCAAAACGGAAATCATGTGACTCCAGGACACTGCGACCTTCGTAAGTATGAGTCACTTGCCAAGCATGCAGAGCAACAGTCGTAAGTCCCTTGTTTTTTAAAGTGACGTCGTAACTTCAACTGGTCACTATTGTATTTTATTCCAATTTCAAATTTTTAATCGTGTTTTATACCAATTCCATTTTAAATTGCTTGTATCCAATTTTGGAAATAATTTATTTCTAGAACTCTGCACTTTTGACATGGCCCGAGGGCTAATCCATCAATCAATATATAAATGGTCCCTAAATGAACAGTTGTTAAGCTGAGGACACCCCGTATTCATTATTTGTAAAAGGAGTCACCCGCTGACCACCCCGAGGCCCAGTTTTGGCTTGCTTAAACCACCCCCCCTGCTTCCCCAAAGCCACAGCCACCCCTTAAAGAGCCCCCCTCCAATCTATCCCACCCCAACTTCATCTTGTACCTTTCTGGTGGACGTGATTGCAGGGGGCTCAAAGAAAGTGTCCCCACAGGCCACCTGGGTAGGATCTTCCAGTTTGAATGTCAAGTTTCGAACATTCTCCATTGGCTCATCACTAAATATCTTCTTTTAAGGGCAGAAAAGAAAAAAGACAGGCAGGCACTAGCCAGGTCAAGTGTCACACCGGCCCAATTTGGCTCTTCTCGACAGATGAAGCTGGACCAGAGAGTCTGCAGTCCCATCTCAGTAGCATCTATCTATCTATCTATCTATCTATCTATCTATCTATCTATCTATCTATCTATCTATCTATCTATCTATCATCTATCTATCTATCATCTATCTATCATCTATCTATC